GTTTCTCAAATAACTATTAAAAATAAACCAATGCGAAATTTATTTAAATGACACTGTTCACATCGTATTGGTCAAGTTTCAGCTGAAGCCAACCAAAGGTAGGAAGCATTCAATTTTGTTTATCTTAGATTTGTGTGTTTTAGTTTAGCCTGGATACAAGGAAATATATCTGCCAACATAAATTCTATGAATTGGCTTTACTATATGAAATTTCTTAGTACTTGGTAATGGTTAAAGAGTGAATTAAAATACAATTTAAATTAATATATATATGTTGTGCAGATATAGCAATGTTATACTTTTGTTAACTTCGGACCCGTGAATAAAGTGCAAAGAGTTCAGTTGTAAAGTTTAGTTGATTTTAAACTAAGAAAACTACTGTGACTTCTGCAGCGTTACTATAAAAAACAGGTTGGTTTAGTTTAAATAATTGCACTGTTTTTGTCTGGTTTAGTAGATACACTAATCTTTCATTTGTAAAGGCTGATATCTTGGCCTCAGTAATAATTATTCTATTAATTTAGTATTATTAATTTACTATACAATCTTTAAAAGGCCCATTAGTGTTTTTTATTGGTTTACTTTTAGTTTGTTAGGATATTTACGAGTTTACTAACGTACTAAGGTACATATTACTATTTTAAAACTGGGCCTTCTATATACATTGTATTCAACGCTATATTATTGACAGGTGTGCCTATAGAGATTAAACTTACTGCATTCGTTTGAATATTGTATTAAGGAGTAATTCATTTTCGAGGATATACATTATTTTGATCACTCTCTCTTCTTGAGAATACCCTTATAGTTATTAGGTATATCTAATCTCTATGGCTACACCTTCACAGGCAGTATAGGTTAGTCAAGTTAGGTTTAATAGTACAGGTGGCCGGAATCAACAGAAGTACTGTATCAGGTGGGTAGGGGATAATCTATTACGTTTTCCACTTATGTTAACATTTATTAACGATAATTGTTCTGGAATTTTTCTCAATACAAGGTTCTTATTTTATTATAACAGCTCAAAATGTATATTTCCGTAGTCATTTTTTATCTTTGGGAGTAGCACTAGAATATCTTTTGGGAAGCAGCAGAAATATTATACCCTGCATGTGTTTTTTTATTTGTAAATATAAATTAATCAGAGCTATTGAAAGAGTGAAAGTTATGTAGTATCCCTAAATCGTTTGGAAGTCTTCGGGCAGTCCTATGTTTAATATCTGGTAACACCTTTCACAGTGAGTATCGTGCTTTTGGCTTTGTTTATTTTATACGCTGTTGTTAAATAGTTTATATTGTAGAAATGATTCCGCCCACCTCTACCACGTTTTTCCCGTGTGGAGTTGCTAGTCTCCTATCGGGCGCCTCCCCAGGTGGCGGATAGGGGATGGCTCGTCAGACATGGCGAGTACTGGGAATGGACCCCCAGGGTGGACCAAAACTAGCATAGTGTAGATCGTATCAATTAGAGTGGCAAGTGGGATGCGTATGTGCGAAATATCACTTCTTTCACCACCACTTTTGTTATTTTGTACAGCCATATCGTCAATTAATTACCTATAAATTAATGTACACTTGTGTATAGTGCGATTCTCAATGTTGTTGGAAACCTTTCCATCATCCAACCCACACACGCCAATTTTAAATATGTAAATTTCCACATCGTATTGAGTCTTATAACTGTATTTGTGAAATTTCTTTCTTGTTTTTCGTTTACAATACTATGCACAATGAGTTGTATATTATTACATTTTGTATGCATTTTTGTGGATAAATTAGATTGAAGTTTTAAATATTTGAATTACAATCATACTCTAATTTTAAAAGATGGAACATATCAAACCATTTTCACAATAGGCTGACAAAATATTTGGCATGATTTCAACAGCGGGTTGGCTCCACCGTATGAACGTAGATAAACATGGACCTTCCCTAGCTCCTGTTTTGATTTATACTCCAGCTTCCTTTAAGATTACTGAAACATGAATGTAAGTTATATTTGCCACTAAATCAGCTTTTCGTACTTTCTCATTATAATGCCATATGAAACTATAGCAAAAATAGAATATTACAATATACTTTCGGAAAATAACTTAGACTTTTGTTAAATTTTATTATAACATATAGGTGAAATTATAGTGCGGATGTAAAAAATTATATACAACCTAGCAAAATTGCAAACATAACTAGTTTACAATTCATTAGCTGCTCCAAACTCCTTCAAATTCTTAAAAGTATTTGAAATGTGTTTAAAGTAGGAACTAAAATATACTTTTTGAGAATATTAAGGATTTTTTACCTATTCTAGCCTGGACTGACTTTACTAATGAATAATCTTGAGAAGTGACATTGGTAGTCCAATTCAGAGATATTTAGTTAAAACTAAAAAGATTGACTAAAAAGATATTTAGTTAAATTTAATTTTTTTAAATATATTTTCATGGGAAAAATTGATTTTGAATATCTTTATAAATGAATAAAGATAATCATTTATATCAAATTGATGATTACCCTTATTTATCAAATTACTCCTAACAAAAAAAATTCTTTTGACACTAGTAATTGGGAAAAATACGTTAAAAACAAGTACGCTTATAGTGTCTTCCTGATATAAATGCTATATTTTTATACGTAGAGAAACACTCAAAACAATTTAAGTTTTAAAGTTGGCATCAAAGAATTTTCAATGTTCTTTCAATCCAATAAACTATTGAGTCATTATTATCAACTGTTTCCTAGCCAAGAATAAAAAGTTTGGTCGAATGTTTACAAATGAAATATTTTGTTTACATACAAATTTTATGTTTTAACACTTTATCATGATTGTTAAAACCTGAATTGACAATTTCGAATTTTAACTAAGAATTGATCGTTTGCTAACCGCAGAGGGATTATTACAAAGTCAAATATTAAACACGACACGATTGTAATATTTGTGGTGGATTAAAGATTATAAATTAAATTTGGTAAGCTGAGCTAGATTTAAGTACAATCTTTTAGAAAAGGGCAAATAACAATTAAAAAACAGCTGATTTGAAAGTAGAATAGAAGGACACTAATAGATTGTAAAAATAATAACATTGAAAATAATGAAAAACATGATCCAACAACAATAATCCATAAGCAATAATTAGAAAAAAAAACAACGAACATGATAATTATAACATAAAATGTAGTAAATATTTTGAAAGATACATGCAGGAAATATAAATGAGAGAGGAAGTAATAGTCTTAAAAATGTTTAAATCTACTTGAATCAAAATTTAATATTTATTTTTATACAACACTAATTAGTTATACTTTTAACACATATTTAATGAAATCTGTGTAATGGACAAAACAAATTGGACACGTCCAGTTTTCTGAAATAGGTAAACCTAAAATATTAATTTCATTACTGTTGCAGAACAACACAAAATGTTTGTCTTTTGACCTCATTGTGAGCTCCAGCAGATTATTGTATTTTATTTTTGCCTTTTAAAAATTATAATTTAATAAGCTATGATAATAATTATTTAACCATTGATTTTTTATTCTTATTCCGAGTATGTTTAATTTTAATTCATTTTAAATTATCCCATATAAAGGGGGTAACTTATATACCACATGGCTCTGCCTAGTTATCCATGTTTCTGCTCAGATGTGTTATTTTATTTTTTATTTTTTTAGATTTCCTTATAGATTCTTAACGCTTCAACATAGATTCTTTAAATTTGTCAAATACATGTAAGATAACGTTACAATGAACTTACAAAAAATATTTTTATATTTTCAAACTATTTCAAAATGGCAGCTATTAAAAAAGCTCAAACCTTTAATATCTTGATTTCTATAAAAAATGTATTTTTAAAATTTAATGACAAATCTAATGACACGACACCTTAATAAACTAAATCAGTTGGACGCTTTTCATCGTCCAACTTTTTAATTATAACTAACTTTAATAAATTTGAAATAATTCATCATGTGGAATCGTTCATGCTAATCAGCTGTTGCTTGTCTATTTCTTGTTATTAATAAATCAGCTGATAAAAAGGATTGTTTGAACAATGAAATAGCTATTAGTGTAGTAGGATTGCAACGGTAACAGCTGTTTGTACACAATAGCAAAACAAGAAGTAAGCAATTATTTGGGTTGTAATACAATTTGCAAAAGTGAACAATGTACGAAATTATCGTATACTTCACACGGTAAAAATCGTGTTTTCCATCCTCACTCATAATATGCACTCTCACCTGCTGCTCTCGCTGCAGCTCAAATGTGAAAGAGTCACTAAGGATTTCGTCTACGTATACACCGAGTGGGATTATAGATACATTTATGCCAACGCTTGATTGCCAATCTGCACGTGCATACCTTCAATTCGAGACCTCAATCATGAAAATCAGTCGGGTAAAAGAGGCAAACGAACTCGGAAAAGAAAAACAAATTTTGTAATATATAAGATAGGGTGTGATGTTTAAAAATATTTTTAGTGGCCATTTTGTTAGCAGTAGTCCACCTAATTGTTTTTGTCTTTATGTCGAATGTTTAGTTCCATTGAGGCAGGTTATGTTATGTGTAAGTCAACTATACTTCCTATTTGAAAGTTTTGTTCTGCCCCCTACTCCTACTCCTTAGGGTAAGTTTAAAAATTAACCATCATTATTGTAGCCAATCGAAGAAGGTTGCCTCAAACCGATTTCAGCTATCTCAAATAGCTAAAAGGTTACTGGAAGGGGCAAGTTACATTTCAGCCACATTATATTGGCTTTTGAAAGGAAGAAAAAGAATTCAACTATATTTCTGTAAACTACCACAGTTTATTGTCACTGATTTTCTTATACATTAGATGTAAGAACATTTCTCCCTTATATCGGCCACAAAATAGGTTTCATTTTAATGTTTGTTGGAGTTGTTTGCAGGATTTTTGTTAGAAAGGTTGTCATATCCTATACAATATTCAAAGGCCTATATTCAGTGAATACTAAAAAGCATAAGACTAACGCAGGAAATAATAAAGTCATTTCCAACAACCACATTAACAGTTTATTGTTTTCCATTTACAAATATATAGCTGTATGTTACGTATAAAGCTGATGATTCATCTTTAGGGCTGCATTGTATAAAACATTCATATAAAATATTGTACATCCTTTATCGCTACTGGACGTAAAGATGTCTACTGGCTGAGGATGTCTCGTTTCTACGCCAAACTGTGAACAACACATAAAATCGTTAAACATGTGACACGATTGTCTTGTTAAAATTGTCTTGGGACTGGGAATTATGATTGACAGAAAAAGGTCAACTAAAAGAAAATAAAACATGATTATTTATGTAACTATACCAACATTATAATACTTACAAAATTATTGTTGACAGCCTATCGCTCGTTCTTGGGCACAGGTCAACCATATCAAGGGCGTAATCCTATAAAATGTAACGTTGTTAGGTTCGTAAATAGTATTCAATACTTTTAAGTCAAATTACATTTCATCAAACAACAGTCATTTTTAGATGAATTATTAATGGTTGCAAAACAGTTATTGAATTCAAATTAGTTTGATCTTTTTTCGACAAAATGTATGATGATTGTAGCTAACCCGATCACCAATCTAAGTAAAAACTAAGAATGAAACAAAATCATGATGGAAAAACTATTTCTATCCATTTAATATTACCCCTCTCAATTGCAAATCCCTTAAAAGACCCAATAGTAATATAATGTTACCAGATTAGTTCTGAAAGTCTTGACAGTGAAGAAGTGAAATCATTCAGGACTCCCAAGATATTAAAGCGGATATTGCTGTTACCAACACAACAGAATGTAACTTCCCTTAGTTGTGATGCCAACATAACAAAATGTAACTTCCCTCAATTACCCTTCCTGTCTTTGACAACTCAAATACTTCTTCTTCTCACTGTCTCATCCCCTCTCGGATTTGAGACGCTTGTCTCTTTTATGGAAATTAGTTTTGCATTTGTTTTTGAACTTTTAATCCTAAAACTTCAAGGTTTGAACACTTGAACCTTTGAAAATTGAAATGTATTTAGATCTTTTTTCATCATACTAATTCCTTATGTGAAAGTTGGTATGGATTTGGACTAACCTATCAAAGGTCATATGAGTTTTTTGCTACCTTTTTAATCACAAACTACTGCCATTTTTTTACTAAAACTTAAAAAAAGAAGACATACACAGAAAGAGCATAAGATCTTCAAAATTTAATATTTATCTCGTAATAAGGGTTTCACCCTAGAGGTGTTAGAGTAATTCTTTTAAGGTCATAGAAAATACTTAACTAAATATTTCCATACAAAACGGTAGTATTGCAAATTATTAATTTTGATATCCTTTCAACATACAATACTTGTTTAGGTATCCTAGGTGTTCCTAATTTCATACCGATTTCTTCCAAGTAAATCAAAGAATATTTTATAAAATCATAACTTTTCCTAATCCAAATTAAAAACAGTTTTCAAATAAAAAATCATTTTAATTCTGTTGAGACAATAATTTGAACCATTTTTAAATCACCAAGTTCTTATTCTACGGTCTAAAAAATACCGTGAGAAAAATCTTGTATCAAATACATACAACTTTCTATATGCCAACTACAAATTACCAACAAAACCCATCAATTACCTTGAAAAGGACTAACAATAGTAGCACCAAATCCCCTTCGTAAACCTCTCCAAAAGGCTTCGTTTAGCTTGAACATGAACAATTGTAATACTGTAGACACATATCTCGTTAACAATATTTAGCTATTTACAAACTTCCCGAGCACAAATTGCCGCCAGGCCTTCGCTCGAGGCTCCAAATAACCTTCACAAGCCAACGTTTTGTCTTCAGACGAATGTCCCGTGTCTGTTTTTCACGTCTTCGTTGTTTGTATTATCCGCGCTGACACTCATTCTCCTCACATTACTAACAGGTGTTCGCAAAGACATTGTTCTAATATTTATGTCTTTACACAACGGTTTGGTCATGAGGGAAGTTCCAGAGGAAATAGTCATCCGGTTTTTACTCCCTCTCAGTGGTTTTCTGATCGTGCTCCTGATCATGACAGAGTCTTTCCCACTGAGTGTTCTGATGTCGCTGCACGGGTCGTAGTATAAAGGTGTACAGCAGGAACCAGAGTGGAGGATGGCGCGGAACCCTGCTCGGAACTTGCGGTTGAAGAAGGCGTAGAGGATGGGGTTGATGCAGGAGTTGGAGGCTCCCAGCCACTGGGCGAAGGGAAGCAGGTTGTCTATGAGGACCTCTTCTACACCACCGGGACTGACGTCTCCTCCTAGCTTGATCCTGGTGAAGATGACGTAGAGAGGAAGCCAGGAACAGGCGAAGAGAATTATCACTACCAGCAGCATCTTGATCACCTTCACCTTTGACCTGGAATAACAAATAGATCTGAGGCAGCCATAAAATGTACAAGATTACCATTCGAAGCCTACCAAGATCATTTGGACCACCATCCCCTTTGACCTAGGAAAACTGGATCAGGATGTACCCCGTTTAGGACTATTGTGGTGCCAGAATATTTAAAACGCTGGATAACTGAACACCTTTATTGCAAGGCGAGCGAAAATACAGCTAATTTAAGGAGTTCAAAAATGTATCGTTGGCCGACTAGCCATTATTACGTGTTTTTTTATTGGGTATACTTGTTGAAGTTGTATTGGAAATGCTTGAAATTAATAATAAAATGAATCCCACTTCAAAATCAGCCATATTAGCAGGCTCTTTATTACGATTCACTAATATGAACGTGGTATATCAATCATTTATATCAATTGGTAGAATAGGCTTCTAGCTCTCTTCAAAATATTTACAGCTTAAGCTCTAAATCTTAAAATATGAAACAAACACGGTACTGGTACAGTATACACATCAACATTTTATCGATGATCATTTACAATCGGAAATTGAGATTATAAAAAGTTATTCCTGCTGACTATTTGCAGGGAAACAGTTGATTCGTTCAGTAGGGTTAGGCCTGATCATATGATTGTGTGACTAAATGAAATTAAACGCCATTGATTAATCTGTTATGCATTTCTTGTTCAACATTTTTTTTACAATCGTGATGGAAAATGTCCGCAATAAACCTTTGAACAACATTAACTCACCATCACCAACAATGAACTTCAAACAAAGAACTGTTATGCATGTTTACTGTCTAGTAAACAATTATAATATAATTTAACCTCTTATCCTAATGATAGTTAACACTGGAAGGTGAGAAGTTATTTGATTAGTATATAAATAAAACTATAAGATGAGGTTATAAAGAGCCGTGATGTGTTTTTCCTATATTGAACCATATGAAATAAAATTGTATTGCAACCGTATTTGATTGGGTTTCTAAATCGAACAAACATTATTTATATTAGAAATCCTCTGAAATGTACACACAAAACCCCTTTAACAATAAAGCAAAGCAAAACTCTATGTAAAGTTGAAGTCAAAGGACAAAGCTTATTAAAGACCCAATGTTGGGTGTTTGGACATTGACACTTTGGTCTAACGTTTTCTTTGTTAAAACCCCTATAGCAGTTCTACAATAAATTATCCCCTAATGCAGGCTAAACCATATGGGGTTTGTTTGTCAATTTATATTTGGTAAATGTTTTCCCAATAGTTTTTTACGTGTTGCTGTAGGAATATACATGATACTATAAATACAGTAGGACTAGTAATTATACCGTCCGTTGATGTATATATGAAACTGTACAGAATTGCTCTGAAAGTAACAGCTTCGAAAAGCACTGTCCCGAAAATAATTTACAGCTTAAGCATTGCTCTGAAAGGCAGAGTTTCGAAAATCATCGCTCGGTAAAGAATTTACAACTAAGGCACTGCTTCGAAAGGCACAGTTTCGAAAAACATAGTTCCGCAAAGCCTTTCGTTGTCTTTCGGAGCAGTGCCTTGATCTCTTAGTTACTAACCTGTGTATGAGATGGTTGCCGTTGCCATGTTGTTCTCCCGGCAAAGTTCTGCAGCAAACTCTTCTCCAGATGAGGAAGTAACACACACTGATGAGACAAAGTGGTAGAAGATAACACATCACTAGGTTTGCCACAACGAAGTACACGTTCTCACTGTAAGGCGTAGGCCAAGACTCTCGGCACGTCTGATGGCAAAAATATCTTATTAGTCGAAATAAACGGTATTAAACTATCACATACCCAATAATTAGACATTAAAATTGAACATCCTATTACTTTTATCGGGAAAAAGTTTAAAATTATACTAAGGTAAGATGAGGTTTATAAGAAAAAATTAATTTTTTTTTATTTTTGAACTGTAAGTTTTACAACGTTTGGGTCCAGGGTAAAAAGCACTGTAACATACATCTCAATAAATTCATTACAGCCGTTTTTTTTCGTGGAAACCCACGTTGGTCCGTTTTGTATGGGTTTTATAGTAAATTTACATTACTGTTTAAAAAAATTAGCATCGCTGCCTAAGGCCCTTCTACTCCCTTACCACGACTCCCAAAACTGGAGCTGTCCAGGCAAGTAGTCAACTACTAACTCTATTTATATATTTTTTTAATAATCATTGTTAATATGTCGGCTATCCTGAAGTAGACTAAATATAAATGCATTTTTCTAGAGCGTAAATTAATTGAGTCACTATGAAGAAATCCCAAAAAATTAACTGTACTAATATTTCACAATATATTTGACGTAATTTCAAACCAAAGTGTAAAAGATAATCTAATTAGTACAATTTTTAATTGGGTGAGCGATCTGGTCTGATCGAGCATGGTACTTCAGTACCCAAGGTGACGTGTTAAAACCCCGCCAATCCCTAATGTATATATTTGTGATAATAGCGTGTCCCTTTAGACCTAGCCTAATGGGAAATGATTCCGGAGAGTCTATAGCGTCTTACAATATAAATGTGGGACATAAAAAATACCAACCTCAAAGTCACTGCCCTCATAAGGGGTCTGCAGCTTGAAGAAGACGGCCCAGGGAAGTGTGATGGTGAGAGAGAAGACCCAGATGAAGATTACAGCTGATCTACAAGCCTGGAGAGTCATTTGCCATCGCAAAGGGTAGCAAATGGCGAGACATCGTTCTACAGAGATGGCAACCAATGTGTTGATGGAAGCGTTCACAGACACACCTTGTAGATAAGGGATGGTCTTGCAGAGAAGCCAACCCATGGTCCAGGCTGAACAAACACATGCATTAACAATAAGATGATAACAGAGGATAAGTAGTGCCACTCAACAGATGGCAACAAATGTACTGATAGTGTTCATAGACATACTTTGTGAAAGTTGAAGATAAGGAATAAGAAATAATAGTTCTTGCACCTTTATTTTCAATGGTAAACAAAGAGCTAATTCTTTAAACAAATATTGTGTAGTAACATACGTTATTTACATTTTCTTCTAACATATTCCCTTACAAAAAAAAAGTTAACTGGTTCATAATATCGACAATACAGATTTTACCATGTAAAGCGTCAACTAAGTGTGGAAATAGTCGAGGTGGGGAAAATTCATATAATGAATACAACTAACTCAGTTAATAAAAAAAAATATTATTCATTACATGATTGTGACAACCTAATAAAGCATTAAATTACAACTTCCTTACACCGAGTACCCAACGTGAGGTAATAGGCTATTCCAATTCCAAGCAATATCTATGCATGCGGTAACCATGAATATGTAAATATGTTAGAAAGCTTGCTTAAGACTTTGTATCAACCAGGCTGGCCAACCGTGCCTTAAACTCAAGAGGCTTTGCTTTGAATTTTCATAAACTAGGGGTAAAGTTGAAGATTTTTTTTGTATTTGTGCTCAAAACTGTTTAAAATATGCTCATACTTTACATTTCATGGGTTTTCGTTGTTTTGTTTAATCCCTAATGGTTTGAACAGCCTACAGAATTTATACTATTAGACAATTTATGTAGTAAATTACGAATTAAATATTTACCAAACAATTAACTCTGATGTCGTTGGTTATAAAATAATCAGTTCAAGAGAGGCTGCTAATCCAGCCTTTGATGTAGTCTGTGTTGATTTACTAAATCCTATTAATGAAAAACTAAATTATTCCTTATTACAAGCAATCTAGCAAGTTCTTCAAGTTCTTTGCCACGAATGAAGATTGTAAATTATGTATTTAAGGAACAGTTTCGTTAAAAATTTACCTAAGCCTTTTTTCGTAATAGTGAAATATAAAACGGCTTATTTAATTATAATAGATTTTGTAGCTTAAATTAAAGGGCTTGGGGGCTATTTAAAATATTGTTTTAGATAATGTTTGTAACATATCAAGGGTTATTTTAATAACCATAAATAGTTAGCTTTAGATAGTTACGTGAGTTGCACTACTTCATTATTTCCAAGGTGGTGATATATACGTATGCTTTCACGATACTTTGCTATGATTTAATGAATGATAAATATGCATATAGGGATCAACAAACGGGGAAAACTTTAAACAACTGTGGTATTTTATTTCTTGTCTTTTCCCAATGTACGAGTACTTTAAAATTGAGGGCCGTAAAGTGTTTTATAGACTGCCTCATTTATTTTAGTGAGGTTTAAAATCGAAATCTACATAATGGGTGCTTATAGTGCTTTAGGTCTTCAAATTTGAAAGTTTGTGTCACAATTATGTCTAACTACAACTTAAGAAAACTAAGTAAAACTAAAAAGTCTTACTAACCTGCCATGATGTTACTAATGAGGGTGAACGGAAGACAGATTACGTTGACCAACAAGTCTGCACAGGCGAGGTTGGCGATGAAGAGGTTTGTAGGAGAACGCATCCGAGGTGAACGATACACTACTGTAACTACTAGACAGTTGCCAGTGACTCCAACAACGAACACAGCGGAGTAGGCGACCACCAGGAAGACTGTGACGGGGACCGGGTACCTGTGAAATCAGTAGACAATCAGTAGACAATCAGTAGATAATCAGGAAGACTGTGACGGGGACCGGGTACCTGTGAAATCAGTTGGCAATCAGTAGATAATCAGGAAGACTGTGACGGGGACCGGGTACCTGTGAAATCAGTTGGCAATCAGTAGATAATCAGGAAGACTGTGACGGGGACCGGGTACCTGTGAAATCAGTAGGCAATCAGTAGACAATCAGGAAGAATGAGACGGGAACCGGGTACCTGTGAAATCAAAGGTAATCGGTAGACAATCAGGAACACTTTGAGGAGTACCGGGTACCTAAAAAATCATTATAAAATTAGTAGATACGTAGAAAACCTGTAGATAATAAGTAGGATATCATGCACACTGCGACGGGGAACAAGTACGTACCAACAACCATTAGACAACTAACATAAAACCTACGACCGTTTTTTAAAGTAGCCATTTCAGTTCACTTCTTAGAATTGAAAAGCATAGTTTCATTTCATAACGGCGTAGTTTTTCTCATAACAACACGGGTAACGGACCAATGAGGTTCAAGGATTGAGGGAATATAAGTAATATTGTAATGCTTCGAATGTCAACTAATCAGCTGATCAGTTAACAATTTTAATTGTTGATCCGACTTGTTCCTGTTGATACTCGCGTAATCTTAACCTAAGTTGATGGAAGTTAAAGGAAGGTGGATTAAACTGTTTTAAAAATGTCAGTTAGTGATAGTAAAGTTGGCGAGATAGAAATGAGAGCACAAGCGGTTTGTCCTAATCTTTTGCCACCAAAATCGAAACAAAGATATGAAATTCATTAAATGGACGATACAAAATAAGGTAAAATTTATTGATAAAAATGTGCTTCTGGTTTATTTTGATAATCTCTTAACCACTTTTCGCCCAACTCGTTGTGGACTGATGCTAAAACCTAAATGTAAATTAACTGATTCACCATATTATTCAGTTGTAAAAAGATGCATTATTTCCCTAATTGTACCTGATACAGTATTTATGGTATGAAAGTAGAACATGTTCCCTGAAAAAAGTAACGTTTATTTAACGAAGTTTTTCAAACACGTAATTACAGTACATGAAATCAGCTGATTATACAATAAGTCGTTGCATCACTTTCATTGACAATGACAATAAACGAAAACATAACCTCTCTAAGAAGTTATGAGTAGTGATTATTATTAATTAAAACCCAGATTGTTAGTAATTACAAAACGGTCGTGGGTTAAGTAGTGTACGCAACTCGCGTTAATAGTCTTTACGACACTCGTAGAAGTTTTTTAGGCACGAGCCTCGGCGAGTGCCTTAAATTTTCTACTCGTGTCGTATTTGCGTAAACTACTAAAAGTTAATTGAAACTTCTATAGCAAACAGACCTGAGTGTTTCCAGGTCCTCGGAGGTTTCGTTCATGTCTGTCTAGAGGACATCGTGATTTCCTGAAACAGAAAAATATATTTGATATCCTTAGGATATAAACACTAGGGTTTTAAATTGACATAGAACCTGGTCTATTTCACCAAACAGTTTACAGTACGTAAACAGACTAGTTATTTAATTAATAAGTGGGTGCATAAAATAGTTCCTTTATGAACCGGAAGGATTATTCGCACACAAGCTGTTCCCGAGATGCATTAATGTGCCTTATTATCTGTTCAAATAAATATTGTTTCGGTTAATACCCTGCTATATGGCAAAACATTGCTTGTGACTATGGAAAAGGATAGGTTAGGCTATGTTAGGTTAAGTTTAATCTTCTTATATTTAATTCTCTAACTGGAGCTGTTGCCCCTGTTTTCTGTGGTATAGGCCTTTTATACCAAAAGAAACGAAAGGACAACTTATCAAAAACTATAGCAATATTAATTTACACGTCAACTATCAAAATATCGAAAGCTGATAGAGTTATAATTTTTACAATGTAAAGATATTTAACAATGCTGTGATAGGTACATTTAACAATTGAACAAAAACATTTGAATAAAAATTTGCAGCTGGTCCATACAGAAGGAATTTCCCACCATTATATCTAAATGTGAATAGTATTACGTACTTAAGGGTGAGTGTTTCTACATAAATAATTATGGGAGTAGGTCCTAATATGTGACAAGTATAGGTATAGATCCAATTTCCCCGTTTAAGTTAGTGTTTTAACCAGTTTAAAAATAAATACCAACTCAGTTAAAGGAGGTAGAATAGGATATCTTACTTTAACATTTTAAAAAAATCTATAAATTGATAATAGACTGTAGCATATTTTATCAATATTAAAATTACAAACGAAAAGGAAAATATAATTTTTATGGTGGCAAAAGGTTAGCTAATGCTGGTCCATATAGACGGAATTTCTTCTTCAAAGTCCAAAAGTAAATGGTGTTTCGTAGTGACGTAATTTATTAAATTGTTTTATTTATGCATCTTCAAAAAGTATATGTTAGTAAGAAGCTAAATATAGTATTGGTTTTTAAAATAATTAACAAAGAAATAATTCTTGCACACTTGGTAATAAATATAGATGTATTAAATTCTCAATTTACTGTCTAAAATAATCCTTAGATACTAAGTGTATTTTTTTAAGGTAATATTTGAAAGGATCGTATTTATATTGACACGTTTAGGTTAAGGATCAAAAAGCAATTTCAACAGTGATACTATACGTGGCTTGGTACGCTAATAACAAATAAACATCCTTAAACCTTAGAGGTTTCAAGCTTTTCATCGTTTAAATTCTCCTCTTACATTTTTAGAGATCCTATAACATGATCACCCGTTTTATGAAACGTTTTTTCTATTCATTGTAAGACTACAGAGATGAATTGTTGACATATTTGTGAATTCAATATTATGAAAGTGATAGAAAGGTGAGAATTTCAACATTGAGTAATTTTAATCTACTTCTTTCCTACTTTAGTTATAAATTGATAGGGCCTATGCCTCGACGAAATAAAGGCCATCAATGAAGTTTTTTTAATACTTTGTGGTTGAGAGTTTGTTCGTAAATACTGTAATAATTTTAATATTTTCATAAAATATTAGAGTTAGATACTAACTGAGACATTTCAATCGTGAAACTGTATTTGCAAGGTAAAACTTAAAAATACATAATTATTGGAGACAGCATCAACTTAACAAATTTTATGGCTGTACACTGTACTACAATATTTTTTTCTACATTGTGTTATATTACAGTTACACTTTATGATGTTTAGCAACTAGATTTTCCAACAAAAACAACCATTCTCGTATTTAAATTTTATAGAGGTAAACAACTCACTGCTTATCTGCAATCTACCTTATAGAGTATTTTACAGATTACTACACATTGTGGCCAATTAATGATTTTCATACAACGGACTTGGTAAGGCCACTAATGAGTTTTGATAGTTACTGGTCAAAGTCTAAGGCGGAAGATCCCAAGAATTAAGGCCGCAATCTCTTTTAAAGCTGAAAATAAATCTCTTTAAGAAGTTTCGTAATCTCACTGCTGACGTCTGGAAACTCATTTGCACATAGTTGGGCCTATTGGTTTCCCTTTAAAAAGATAATTTGTAATACAATAGGCTACTGTTCAATTTACTGTTGGAATTTGTTTTGGGTTAGGTTAGGTTCGGTTGGGTTAGTTTATGCCAGGTAAGCTTTGTTAAGAATTAGGTTAGGTTAGGTTGTAACCTAAGATACATTTTCGGACTGATAGGTCTACTTATCTTCTTAATAAAAATATTATAAATATCAATATTCTAGACTGTTAGGTTTTGTTTGCTCAGGTAAGGTTGGGTTAGGTGAGTTAGTTCAAGCTAGGTCATATAGGAGTTGATTATGTTAGGTTTAGCTAGGTAAGTTTGTTATTACTACTAGACATTTTGTACATTTCATGACGTAGTTTATGCATTATTAATTTAATCGCCGTTTCAAATCGTCACCATTCAGGTGTCCTCCTGATTGCGAACAGTCCTGATTGCGAACAGTCCAGACTGCGAACATGTTTGGGTCTACGAGGTGGAGGGGGTCGTCCATGGGGTGGGGAGGATTCCTGATTGCGAACACATTTTGAGTGGTTGGGGTTTTCAACCCTTTCATAGAAACCCTTAACAGAATGATTCAGCCTAAATCACAACTTAAGACTGGTAATATACATAATGGAAAGGATGAATGTTCTTGAAGACACATATCTTTATGAGACGTAGTACTGTATAATTATAGGTAAAGCCCCTTATTAACAGACAGATTCGTCCAGACTCACAAATTCGTTCTGATAATAGGTATTTAAAGTGGCTGTTTATTTAAAATTAATTATAATATGTTTGACTTGAACAAGCAACTACTAAACAATCTCAGAGTAAAAGAAATAAAACAATCATTTCATATGAACTAGGGTACCTGTTGCTCGAAATCAGTAATACAGTAATAACAGTAATAATTTTCGATGAGTTTAAAAGACCCGACTAAATGCTTATGTGACTAATTGTAATACTCACGCTATTAAATAGCTCTTTGAAATAATAAACGCTTCTTGTATCTTAGCATTTTTTGGACCCGGCCTTATTTTTTAGTGTTTCCTACTAATGTTTCCCGACTTAAAGCTTTTAACCAGTAAACATTTCTTGCATGTATTTATTTGATCGGAATTTAGGTAGGTTTACTTTATCACTGTGACAACATCTGTTGTATATTCTTCATGTTTTTAAGTTGCTTAGCATAACTGACAAAAATGATTCATCTCCCCAAGTGAGTGTGTACCTGGATTCCTTACTGTGAGACGAGGCCTCTCCTCTACTCTTCTTATTCGTATAAGATTTCCTATTAATTGTCTCCTCCTCCTGTTTTCAACATTTCTTCTTTAAACTCAAGAAATTGTCTGTTCTTCCAACAAAACTGTTTAGATTTGTCTATTACCTCATAAATATTACAAACATCAATATTTACTCCCAAAAAGCTGGTGAGTTTCTTTTTATATACAGTTGTTTTTGTTTTAAAATTTGTTTTCAATGTAATTCTTATGGGGAAGATGCGACATTTGATAGCGTCTCGTGCCCTTAAGGGTAAGAGTTTTTAAAGTTCTAAAACCTTAATGCATTACTACAAATTGAGACGAATTATTTGACACCTCAAACGTTAAAATCGGTCCAGAAATAACGGAGGAGTTTTGTTCACAAAAATAGCCTCGCATATTAATATAAGAGAAACTGACTATAGTTTAACATAATTAGCCGAAATATCATGCATTTGCCAATATCACATTCCAAACTCAATCATTACCTAAAAAACATCGTCAACGAGCAATTTAAATAGCAACTAAAATAAATACCATACTTACATACATCTTACATCCGAAATAACATGTATATGCATTACACATTACAATATCAATCATTCAATCACATTCCCAACTCAACAAGCAAT